TAAGCTTCCGGACGCACACGTCTTGATGAATGCGCCTTTAACTCTGCATAACTTGTCCTTTCTTGGGATCTTAGAAGACAGTCATTAAAACTTTTATGTAAACAAGTAGTGCACGTGCGGCTAATTTGACGCACTGCTTAGTACTGTTTGAAGTCATGAAATGCCTTGTTGAAAATTACCGAAAATTCTTGTCTTATTTGTATCTGAAGTTGTTGACATTAATTCTATAAAGTGGGTAAATGTTAACCAATTTACTGACCTGGGTATAACAGTATCGACTTACACTGCGGTTCTGTAATAGCAGTATCGTTCATTAGCTGTAAAGTATTCACCTCCAATTTATCTGTTTTGTTAGTCTGTCGAACACTCTGATATTAATAGGGCTTGTCAAATAATATACAAAGTGAAGTGAACGAGCAAAATTCTCTCTTCCCTCATCTTTCTTCTTCAAAATCACGTTATGTAGAATCTATGATCGCTGGGAAATCTATACTAGAAGACATCATATAGATTAACTTAAGGTATGTACAATACGTAGAAATTACATTGTACTTGACTGTTCATATATTCCTGTAAATATTTATTATACATTTACATGTATGTATAATCTTCAAATGAAACATCCCTTCATTAGCAACAAGGGAAAAGAAAAAGAAAACTCACAGACACGTTGTATTTGAGCTAATGAACGGCAATGCATAATTTTATAGGGAAACTTCATATTATTTTAACGCAATGCTGCTGATAAGGAGTCACTCTTGAACATAAAATGTTCGTATTTTTATCAACCTTATTAAAAATTCCCTTAAGTTGATTGGAGGCATTCGGAAACAATATCTGTCACCTGGTGCTGACAAGACCCCCGTCCTCATAATGGGAGGATAATACAACTAAACAAACGCCCTCACAGGAGGAACAGTTAGTTAATTAATCCGGAAAATTCAGAGATTAGCTAAACTCTGACACGTTTGGTATTTAGCACGGACCCTGTCATTTTCCTGCCTGACACTTAAAACTCGCGTGCGGAATCTCGGAGTGCCTCGTCCTTAATGCATAAAAAACGAAATGAGTCGAATCAAGTTGAGCTGCTGAGTCTGTCACGCTATCCAGATAATGCACGTTCTCTTATCACGTGCCGTAAATTAATTAACCAATCATATATCGTACCTATGTGTAAAATATGCCGACACTACAGGCTCCAGTTTATCGGCTACTGAAAATAAAAAGCCATGATGAGACTGATGTGAGATTATAACACACTTCTGACTAATTACTACATGTAGTACCGGGGTATATCGACACAGTTGATGTGCATGATCTTTAATAAATTGTAAATAAAATCAAAAGTAAGTACTATAAAATATTGTGGTTATTGACATTCGAAATATCCAAAAATTGGAAAAAATTATATACTAGTAAGTTAAAAATGTATAAGTCTTTTTAGATAATCTGTAAATCTATTCATAAAGAATTCTTTATCAATGGGGATACAAATCTAGATGTACAATCCTGAAACTCAGAAGTAAGTACATGTACTAGTAGTCAAAATATGAAATTTATGGTCATAAAATTGTTCAATAAATTTGAAATATTTACAGACGAATCAGGAAATTAATTCGAATATATATGAAGTACACTTTGTATATGTTTTTTCATAGACAAATTTTGGTTAAAAGTTCAGTTCAAGGTAAATCTTTTCAGAATTAAAAGAACGTCTCGGAAAAGGATTTATTATTATGTGAAAAATAAAATTATCCAGAAATCCAGTCTGTAGTTTGCAGACAACATTTCACATCAAAACAGAAAAGGAATACCAGTACCAGTATGTCTTACATACATGTAAATATACATGTACTAATATTTAATTTAACAGGGCCATAGGAAGCAATTTAAGTAGAGAGGGGCAACCATATTTAGTTACAAAATGTCATAACAAGCAAAAAAAAAAAAAAAAAAAATGAATGAATGAAAAATGCAATAAGGTCATCGAAGTTATTGTCATCTACAAAAGTTTCGCATTTTTAAATTCTGCATATGTCAATTTAAAAAGTTAAATTGAAAATTCTTCATTTATTATAGAGTATTTTATTTTTGAGGGGGTACAACCGTTATTTAGCTTTATTTCCCATTGTAAATATACAAAGGGGAAATGCTGCCGGTTACTACGGGCCTGTTTTAAAGGAGTAGTGAGCTAATGCATTGCTTCAAGTGTGACAATTCCCCCATGCAACCCCCCAAATCGTAATAATTACCATTTGCACGTTATTGAGGCGTGAAGTTATGAACGGACAACCTGGGTAAGATGCCATGCACGGGACGAAGTAATAACTGGACAGCGGGAAAACGAACGCACCCTCTCCCTAAACAAACAAGGCTGGTCTGGCAAGAGGAAATTAAGAAGAAATCCCTATTAATTCATTTCTGACACCCTAGGAATCCGCGAAATGTGTCAAAAATACTGTTTGTTTTTACGCGTAACCTTTCTAGCCATTATATATTAGATTCTCCATAAGAGCAGACTTGGAACCGTTACACAAACAGTGAATCCGGAGGAAAGAAAACATAAAGAGGTGTATACTTTATTTCATTTTCAACCGTTTATTCTTTTAAAACGTCTGAAACTAATTAGCTGCTTAGAACCAAACAAAATATATAATCACTTTTTTCAGACTCTGATTTTTTCAGAAAATCAGTCAGCACATTAATTTAAGAAAATTAAACAAAAAGTTCGTACATGAAACTTGACACATGAACGCATTAAAGGGTTTTTATCACCTATCTAAATTTCATAAGAAAGAAAATGAAATGAAACACTACATGTATTATACACTTCATACATATCGATCAATTATAATAATTACATGTATGCAATATTCATACCAGTGTGTGCAATATGTTCGTTTATTATATTTTACTCTGAGCATAAATTAATTTCTTAATATGCATATTACTGAGCTCAAATTTAGCAAGATTATTTTTTTTTATTAAATCCGATCTCGCTTGTTTTATAAGCTTGTCATTTTCAAGGCACTCGGCCGCAGAGCATCACTAGAGGCTGCTCGATTTGTCTTCCTACAGTAAAACGGTTTATTACAACATCTTGAAAACTTTAATTTAAAAAGAGATTTAGAAAAAAGTAATTGTAGAAAGTTTGGTCGTACTTCTGAAACTTTAAACATAATAAGCTGTATATTTGGGATTGACGTTAAAAAACTGTATAAAAACTACATTAACTGTTGGGAAAAATGTATGGATTTTATGAATGGGTGTTATTTTTCTGCTGTGGTACACTTAACAGACCGTGGGAAGAAGAAACATTAGACTCTTGGAAACGGAAGCTATGTTTTCGGCTTGTAGTAAATGTCTGTTTTAATAGGCACAATGTCACCATGTTGCTGAGTCTGGATTTCGCTTTGCTACTGAAATAAGAGCTCGTGAGTCTATGTAGTTCCGTGGCTCTAACTTGTTCTGATCCTATCAATGGTCGGGGGATTGTTGACTTTGGGGTCCGAGTAATCACCCAAGTTGTCATAAAAAGGTCAAAGGACAACTACTGTTTTTCTCCAGTTTTCAAGAAAATAATACTGTGGGTTTTTTTTCTTGATAATTTAAAGTTTACTTAAACGGTATTTACTTACACCGTCGGACCAAGGTTGTTTTTTTTTTGGGGGGGGGGGGGGGCAAGGTAAAAAATAATTCAATATCTGATAGGGATGTTCAAAAGAATTTTTGAAGTGCTAAATTGGGATAAATTTTCATAATTTGTTTCTGTTACCATGCTTTTAAATGCTAGATTTTTCAAAATTATTATTTTCATGTTCAAATTGAAAATTTTAATATATAAATTAAAAGATGTCTTTCTGTGATAAGTGCTTCAATCCAAATAAAATTCAACGGTGCGGGGATTTGATAATTTTTTAATACCGTGTTAAATTAAATATTGCAGGAGCTTTGGATAAGTGATAAAAAAAATAAGATTCGTAAACATCCGGTTTTCTGGGTTTCTTCTTCTCTTTTGTGTACATCGCCGTGAAGTGTCGTAGACAGACGTGTGAACGCCAATAAAAAGAGACTTCCGATTGAAATTTACGAATTTCTGCAACACACGTCAGTCTCAAAAACGTAAATTTTACACCCCAAAAAATTACAGACGCCGGAAAAAGAATTGTCAAATCTAAAATGTTCTTGTTTTATTCCTTCCTGTGCTGTTGGTGCTTGACTGTTGAATATCTTCACAGGAAAAACTGAGAACTCGCATTACATTAGACAAAATTCATATAATTCTGAAATATTTTTTATGATGTTTCTTAAAACTAAATTGCTTGAAAGTGAAAAGTATAATGGTCTGAACATCTGTGAGTCTTAATTAAGCGTTATGTATTCAATTTTTTATGTGTGTGCCTTTGAGTTTAATTTCAGATTATTTTACGCAAAACACAGGTGCAAAAATATTGCTGGATCACCGTAAAATGACTGCACCTGTCCTGCGCTTCTATTGAAGTATAACGAAAACAAAAATGGCCAAAGTTCTTGCATACCAATAGATTAACTAAATATCTGATCCTGGAGATTGCTAGTTTTTACTTTTCAAGTCAATTTAAAGTTTCAACAGCTACTTATCTAGATTTGTTTTCTCTTATCAATCATACAAGTGTCTTTGTATTTGGATAAAACTCAGAAATCGCTTTAAATTGAGGAGATTTTCAAAATATTGTCCACTGCTTACTTTTTAACGAAATTGTAGCCACAAAACCATTTTTTAAGATTTTGTTTAGATTTTTTCTAGTGAAATGGTCTTAGACTTATCGGACACACAACAGAGTCGCGCGCGCAGAAGAAGGGACAGACGCTGCAGTCCTCAGCGCAACAGTTGATTGGCAGCTTCCGAAAAGAAGCTGTGATTCCAAACCTCCTTGCTGCTAATAGGCGTGGAGAAATGGGCGGGGCGAATTTAGCAATGTAAACACGTCTAAGATTTTATATACAATAAGTGCACATGTTGCAAGGTCATAATAACTGGTGAATTGGACGTCGAGAGCTAATGCGAACCTTATGTACCCGAAACAAGTATCGGAAACACGTTAGCATGTTCATGTAATAATTGAAAAAAGTTGGAGGATACGAAATAATTTGTAGCATTTGTTTTTCGTTACAATAAACGACACGTGTCCTTCTGATGGTACTGACGGAATTATCTACAATGATTCCCCAACAGACTGAGGTCAGTAGTGGAGGGGAATATCACGATCTGCAGACCCAGAGCGCCCTACTGGTCAGTATCAAACAGGAGTACTCGGAAAACTTTACACAGGAAAATTACACAGGTTCAGACTATCCCCAAGGAAAAGGCAAAAAACGAAAACGTTGTGACAAATCTTGTGATAGTTTCTCTGACGCTTGTTCTCCTGCTACTTCTGAGGCCTCCAGTGATGGCCCCGTACAAAAAAGACCCAAAAACAAGGTCACCAAGTCCTTCGCGGACGTACTCACACAGAGAGCCATGGCAAATGTACGAGAAAGGCAACGGACACAGTCTCTGAATGAGGCATTCGCTCAACTGAGAAAAATTATCCCCACCCTTCCTTCCGACAAACTTAGTAAAATCCAGACTCTGAAGCTGGCCACGCGCTATATAGACTTTCTGTGTCAGGTTTTACAGTCTGAGGACACGGGGTCGTTGGAGGGACAGGGAGGGTGTTCTTATCTGGAGGAGGAGAGGATCGGGTACGCCTTCTCTCACTGGAGAATGGAGGGGGCCATCAGCGGTCCGGCTCAGTAACCCTGCCCAGGTAGGTCTGTCTTCATGTTCACACCTTTAGTGTGGATGTCTGACTTGACTTTGTGTCTTTTTTACTTGAAATCTCCCCTTTCGTGTAATAATAATAAAGTAAAACAATATTCCTGCACCTAATCTAACAACAGAAGAGGATAAATAAATGTATTGAAGAAAAAAACCCTTTAAAATGCAATGCTGTATGTGTGTTCTACCAGTTTTATGTTATTTAGTGAAAACTAATTTAAAGTAATGTCAAAAACTGAAACCATGGGAAAAAAATATTGCACAAAGAATGAATGTTTCTTTTGAAAAAAACATTCATAATATAATGCGTCTTGTTCTAAGTTCATTTTAGTGAAGTTGCAGGCGTTAGTTTAAAACGATTGGCTTGCACATAAAAACCCATATAAACTTAGAGATATTTATTTACGGGGGGGGGGGGTCACATTACTTTAGAAGGGAGGAGTGTGTTTTTACCAAAAAAAGTTTTGAAAAAAGATCAAGTCAGTGGTGATTAATCTTTGCACATATGATCAATGTAAAAGTTACAAAAAAATGACAGAAAAAAAACGTTCATACATGCCTGCTTTTGAATGTCCTTAGTGTAGAAATGCACAGAAAAAAACGCTTTATACTTTATTTTTCTCTTCTAAAATTATAATGGTTTCATCTATTCACACCAAATCTGAAATATCTAGTCAAAGATATTTTTTATTTAAAAAAAAAATCGTAATAAATTTTTCTTCAAAGTGTATCCCTTACAATAAATATTGATAGTAAGATGGTTCCAAGATGCACAAGAAATTTTCTGCCGAAAAGACCTAGAGTATGTTAGTCAGACACAATAAAACCAGAGCACTTTGTTATCAATATTTAGCTCTGGATTTTTCATATTGTAATACAAAGTGCACTCCCTGGCGATATATTGGCCAGATGGATATGGCACTCAGTATATTAACAGGTCACTGGTAGATATTCTTAATTAGGTGAAATGCCGACCCCCTGCTGAGAGCATTAGCGCGGGGTCCACCCTGATGAAATCGCGCCCCAGATCACATCAGGGGGTCAAGGGTCAATCTATCATAAATCTATTGAAAACCCATCATACAGATTTTTTTATCAATGACCAGTGACGAGAATATGAAGGCGGGAACGATAACAAAGAGGCAGCGCGTTATAGGGCGCGGAAAGATGACAGGGAGGGAGAAAAAAAATCACGTGTACATCAACAAAGCCTATTAATCATCTGAAAAGATACAATCGGTATCTTATATATGTATTATAAGTAAACTGCAGAATATAAAGGACATCTAATAATTTAAATAGAGGCAATACTCAGAAATGATTTCAAATTTGAAATTATTAATAAAAATAAAAGTATTTACAATTTGAAAATGATAACATTATCTAAAGTATCTCTTTTTTCGAGGTAAAACAAAAGAGAATGTAGGCAGTTTTTTTGTGTAAGAAAATCATATATGACGTGATTCGATCGTTTTCTTTTGCGCATAAACATTCCACTCGGAATAATTCCTCAGAAACATTATTTTTCTTTCATCTACAGTAATTAAGCCGAGTACTTTTCTTTTAATTACGACATAACTCGACTTGGGGAAGAAAGAATTCTGGTTAATAGGTACTTAATTACATTGGTCTCAGTTTTAACTATGTCAACGTCGAATTAAAAATCCATCGTTTTATCAAAGAATATATCAAGACCGCAGTGTTAGAAATTCTCAATTTATGCATTTCAAATCTACACTAATATTCTGGATCCTCAAATGTCAATAACATGAAAGTGATGAGAATAGCAGGCAACAGAAGTAGAAAATGTTCCCGAAGCCAATAAAGCCCCGAAAATACCCCCTCATCACAGAGACAAGTACACGAAGCGTTGATTAACGGCACAGCTGCCAGAGAAAGTCATTTGCTAAAAGCAAAAAAGTGAAGCTGTGTGCGCGCGTTTTATTAACGAAAATGACCCTCTTTCTTGTCAGAGTGCACAAAAAACTTACTTTTTCTTCTATATGTTTTTCAACAAAATACAATTTTTAACTGAAATATTTTTTTTAATAATAAAAAAGAAGAGAAATGTCAAAACAGATTCTCTCAGTGTACATACATAAAAAAGATTGATGTATGTAAAAAAAAAAAAAAAAAAAAAAAATCAGAAGCAGTAAGTAATTATGAAATAAAGAGACCATACATAGTTTTTGATTAGTAAAATAATCAAGATTAATTTTATGATACAAAATATCATTAACGATTCAAATAGGTTTCTTATTGTAAATATGGTATATGTGTATAGAATTTAACACTGTGCATTTCCGCTATGTCTGTCAACTGTATATCTTTATGTTCCCTAATGCAATATGGAAATCTTTGCGTAGTAGAATGTGTCTTCTTTAAAAATGGACTTATTTGATATCTTTAAAAACTATGTGATTTATCATTGTAGATACATTCAGCGTTATTTTGGCTGTTTTGGACAAATTACAACGATTGACGAAAATCTTGGTCTTTTTGACGATAACAACAATTGTTACATTGGATTACCAGGTGCAGGAATTTCAGTTCGACATACGAGAGATTACAAGTTGACAGAAGGGTAATACAAAAGACAAGATTGGACACTAGATTTCTTCTGTGTGCAGCTAAAACGGTTTGATCAGTGCCGGGCCGATAACGCACCTGTCCCAGGCTGAATGCACGTGCCGGCACGGATAGCGGATCAAGCGAACTCCCGACTAGATTTCTGGAGAATCTGTGATTATGAGAAACGAACCTAATAAAATCATTAGAGTTAATAATCCTACGGATTTATTCATGCCTCCTTTGGGTTCACATAAAAAGTCCTCATACATTTGTATTTTTTGCTACTATATACATATACGTTATTTCATTATGTTTATCAGTCCCTGGATGCACAATGAACATTTTTTACCTTTCCTCCGTCCAACACATCACGTGCACACTAAAGACTAATCACAGACTTCGTTATAAAACAGTCTCGGACCATTTCATAATGATTTCATTTTGGATAGCCGTCTTGTGAATATTACACCTTGTTAATATATTTATATAATTTTATACAAAACCTCCAAGTGTGTTTGTGTGTTGATTTTTTTTTCTTGAGATTAAAATATATATTGCAATGCTTCAACACATGTTGTTCTCTCCCCTCGTACACATCACTTCTTGGTGTAAAAAGACTGATCAGTTACTTGTGCATTGATTCGATCAGTAAGACCTTAACGCTTCATGCTCTTTATCTCTCTGGTAATTATATCAGTTTTTACTTTAACTCTTATGATTTCTAAAAAGAAATTTAGAGGAATATGCACCTAAGAGCATTTTCATGTCAGTTGTAATGCATTAAAATTCCAATATTTACTATGAATGGTAATTTTTCAAATACAAACAGTTTCAGTACATTTTTCGGGAGTAAAAGACATATATGACATTTTGATATTGTTATTTTACAATACATACATATATCACATATTATATTAGACATCTAATAGAATTATAATTAATTCAAGGAAGAGTTACGTTTCTTTTTAGAGGGTCAATGAACCTGAAATTTCTATCGAAAAAAACTTTACTAAGAATCTCTCTTCTAGTCGAACTTTCATGATTAACACGATTTATTTTACTAAAAAATTAAGGCCCTACTCCCCATGACGTTCTCCATGTTGATTTCCCATCAGTGTTCTACACAATGCTTCGTTTAAAAAGTATTTTTCTTGTATAATATTCCCAAATAAACAATGTACATTTAAATTAAGGTTATATTTGATGTTAAAACGAGATAAAAGAATGACTTTCAAATGAATAAAATGTAAAATAAAATAAAACATCAATTCGGGTGTATAAAAAAAAATAATCAACACCCCAAACTATCTTGCGTCTTTTCAAGTCTAACATTGATTGATTAATCTACATGTAAATAATCTGTCGTGGATGATGTGACAAACGCCAACGATCGGGGGTGGGGGTCCCAATCTACCAATGTGACTCCAGTATGTAGCGTATCTGCAAAGGAAAAAGGACATCTGACAATGGGAGTCCTGGGATTTCTTATGACTGATTGTTAAGAAGACAAACCAAAGAAAAACTTTTAATAAAAAAAAAAAGTCTTTAGCAAAAGCCTTAAAAGCAAATCTATTCTTAAGACATTTTTGTTTTTGTATTACTAGTAATTTTCTTAAATAACTTCTAACAGACAATAGTCCTACCGAAATATCAAAGACAGTGGATAGAGAACAGTTCAAAATACAAATATCAATCTTTTTATGCAAGAAACTTATTTTAGTTAATTATGAATATAAGGAAACACTTTAGTAGCTACTAAAAAAATGTTACATTGTAGATTTATTGCAATTTTCTTTTGTTCGTTTTGTCGATGTTAAAGAAAGAAAATCTTGATAATTAATTTTGTTAACGCGTACGAAAATTGGAACATCAGAAAATATATCATACTCCTTGAACAGCATTTTAATCAATGATATATTTTGAAACTTTCCACTTACCACAATAGAAAGGAACTGCATACATGTAGTCCAAAGACTGTAAAATACTTTAACTCTGAAGGAAGACGACAATCACTCGTAACACTGGTCTTTGTAATTCAATATGCTCTAGGACTACATTAAAATGTATTTACCAAGAAAATGAGATTAAACACATTAGCATCAACTATACTTCTACTTTACCAATATTTCAGTGTTCCATTATTATTCAGGATTCTTCTTTCTAATGCAGGTATTTTAATAATGACAACTAGGCACATGCTACCATCGACAAAATCATATTGCAAACTTTAAAACGTTTTAAATTTTATTTCACATCTTCATTCACTTTCCTTATATTTTCATTTCATTGTGAAATAAAATTGAAAATTAAGATTTAAAAATGCTGTATGATAGATTTTAATTACACGAGGCCTCTCATGTCAATTTCAATAGTTCTTGCCCACTGACGTCAGACACAAAGACAATCGCACGAGATTTACATGATATTCGGCCTCCATAAGCTCCTGAACTTTTTCATGGCAAAATTTACATTCTGGTTGAATTATCAAGAAATCAACTCACTAACTTCCAAGGAGTTAGCAAATAGAAAACAAATAAAATGCAAATATTTATCAATGAAGGAAAATCTTTTAAGATATATTCGCATTAGAAGTAGATCTACGTCTTTGTGACGATTTATTGTATCTTCACTTAAATATACCTTATCTTGATTAGGATTTGTTATTTTATTTTACTTAGACAAACTCATGCATACAGGAGAGAGAGAGAGAGAGAGAGAGAGAGAGAGAGAGAGAGAGAGAGAGAGAGAGAGAGAATATTTATTTTAATTGAAGATATTTCATGCAAAAAAAAAAAACTCCAAAATAAAATCTCACGACTTCAAATAAATTTTCCAACAAACAAATATGAAAACGACTTTCTGTTTTTCTTTCTATTTTCTTCTCTCGACAATCGGTAACACTGTGAGAAAAATCTCTCCTGGCTCTCACAAAATCAACAAAAACATTCCATAGCCCTGTGCTTCTGTTCTGTTCCGTCTGGGGACGACATTCTTTTCTAAATGATAATGCTGCAGGAATTAGCCACATTTTCTCGTGGAACTGCTTTAGCAGTAACAGTTTGACACCGACAGTTCTTTGTTGACTTGAAAACTTCAAGAAGCAGAGGAACAAGAATTGGTATTGACAGGTGAAATTACACAGCAGAAAATCTCTGCACGTTAAACAAAGTTCTGGGAATTGAGTGTCACTTAAGATTAGTTATACAGTACGACTCAATCAGTAAAAAAGCCATTGTTCGAGTTTCATAAGCTAATAAATGATATTCTCCCACCAATAATATATTTGAAGTGAAGGAAATGCTAACAGATTATAATCACTATAACTTTGATGCACCGACACCGTTTATATATCATTACATTAATTAGTCTGCTAATATTTTATAAGGAAAAAATAAGACGTGTATATTATTGTTACTGTTGATGTTTTAAGATTAAAATTGTTACATGTAATAAAAGATGTTACACAATAATGTTTTAAAATCATTCATAAGTTTATTTTTCTACTGAGGTGTCATTCGTGCAATATACATGTAATAGAACACTCTCTTCTAAATTCGAGTTGTTGCTTTTTAGATGACAATAGAATAAGAAATCTGTGTTACCGTGCAACTCTTACACCTACATCAACTTATTTATGTCAGCATCAATTTATTTAAATCAACATCAACTTAATTAATATGTCTATATCAATTTATTTATGTCATCATCAACTTATTAATGTCAGCATCAACTTCATTATTTATGTACTTATTTATGTCAGCATTAATTTTATTTATGTCAACATCAACTTATTTTCTGTCAGCATTAATTTTATTTATGTCAACATCAACTTATTTATGTCAGCATAAACTTATTTATGTCAGCATAAACTTATTAATGTCAGCATTAATTTTATTTATGTCACCATCAACTGATTTTTGTCAGCATCATCGTTTTTATTTCAAGAACAACTTTTTATGTACAACTTTTTATGTCACTAACAACTTTTTTTTATGTCAACATCAACGAATTCTTGCTATGACTGCCTAACCTTATTTTGTCATCTTACATTTAAATGTGTCTCTGCTACCTGGCTGCTAATGTTGGGGGCGTTTTTCTTTCTGAATAAACCGTATTTTTAAGTTATATTTAAAATTTCCTCAAACCTTCTAACCAGTCAGAAAGTATATAATCAAACTAATGTCATTAGTTGTATGACATAATTCCGGAAGTATAATAAAATTGCCTCGATAAGAAATTTTCGGGATATGATTTCAATTTCCCATGGAATAGGTATTGCAAAGATTTTCTAATACTGATATGAATGTGGTGACATGGTGATGTGTCTGTTAAATGTTTGATCTCAAAAAGCATCAGTTTTACCAATTATGTTTGACCTACGTAACCGAACAGGTGGTGGGTTCCAGCTGATGTAGATTTTTATAAGGCCTGCGAAACTCTGACAGACGTTTATTGCTTTGTACACTTTATAAGTATTGTCCTCTCTAACAATATTAAAAAAATAATAAAACCCGCAACATAACTTCATAAAAATTTTTAAGCAATATGATATAACATGATTTCTTCCATTCTATATGTAATAAAAATGTACTTCTTTGAAGTTATTGACTCGTCAGTTGCGTAATTACTTTGTATGCCAAGGCATCCATGTAATTTTAAGTTAATTAAAAAAAAATACAAAGTTTTCTGATGAAAGAACGAATTTTATGCATATACTTTATAAATATTGTAAATGTGAAGCTTCTTGGCTTCTGTCCATATAACGGGACCCTCTACACTCAAAATGAAATCATATTATTTAATTTTTGCCTAGTTACTTGAATGATTGTATTAATAGAGACTATGAACTTGTCTTTTTAATGTGAGGATAAAAACGATCTACCATAAAACGGAAACACAAATGGATGGACCATGGTTATAGCGCTTTTGCAAAAAGGTTAATGTTTCGGAACTATCGCAAAAGAGCGCTTTCCATTTAAAAACCATGAACCAGAATAATGTGAAATCATGTCAAAACGTTGTCTGTTCTTCCCTTCACTTAAGTGTGTTTTGAAAACCTTTTTTATGAATAAAACATTTTCAGCTTTGAAAGTATTTATAATTTCATAGATCAACATGTCATAGAGAAAACGCTACGAAAAAAGCAACGAGTTAGACTGTTTGTCGCTGAAAGCACTAACAGCTGTTGAAAATAATTTAAAATTGTGCAGTATTAAGTGATTTTAAAATTTACATGCATACAAATCTTAGTCAAAACCTGACGTTGAAATATATTCACTGTAACACATTGATTAAAAGTATTTTCTGCTAATAGCATATGGTATTTTAAAAGTACATGTACTTCAGCTGACAAAGTAGGTAACAGCATTATCTCTGGTAGGAAGGCTCATTATATTAATTGTATGTTAACGGAACTTGGCATTAACATATTTCATTTTGTAATGAAGAAAAAAAACTTTAAAAATCATACAAGTCTAATTGTTTAATTTAATATTCCAGCAATCAAACTGAATTTTTGTTAGCATGTACATTCATTGAATCTTAAATCTTATATTTTAGTTGTA